ATGTGGGCCAGGTTTCAGATCAAAATTCAAAAATATAGCTTTGCTGCAAAAGTGGGGTGCTATAGAAAAAAGACACTAAAAACTCGATATCTCGTCAGAAACAAGCCAGGGGGACGAACTTTTTTTACCATAGACATAGCTCACTATAGGCTACAAGATGCGCAAAACTCCGACTGAAAAGCGCTCTGGCACCTGGGAAAGTTCCCTTGTTAGTAAACTAAAAAAACACAAAACAAGGTTCAGTTATGATATTTAATCAATTAATTTAGTTCAAAAATTTCTTCTTGAGTAGAATTTTTCGAAAAAATACTAAAGAATTTTCAGCATCACATAATAATCATCGTGAAATCAATTTTACTATGTATCTATCATGAGTTCTTTAATTAACAATTTATTCTTTCAATCATGATTATAATAGATAGTTATCTTTCAAATATAATATCATAAAACTCAATTTATCTTTACATTGTAGAACATCATCAGAATCATTTAATCGTTGAACTAGAGTATTTAAATCAAACACGTAGAATAATCATGAGAATCTTAAAAGTTATTTTTTATGGCGATGATGACTGTGTACATCTTAGTTTCTATTCTATTTGGTAGTACAATAAACAACAGAGAGATTAAGAAATATTTCAATAACAATGATAATATAAAACTGACATAATTGGCAAATTACAGAATATAAATAAAAGTTAAAAGCTAAAACAGTAGAATAGCAAGAAATATTGTGTTTAATATTTTCTTTCATAAACATCGAACTGTTGTGTTATGTACTTACTCAAAAATGATGTTTGATAATCAAAAGCTGTTGTTACACAAATCCGTATTTTCACAATGTAGGTGTCGATCGACTTAGAATGAACTTGAGCAATCATTGATATACTCACAACTCTTAAAAAACCAAATTCTACTTGAGCTATGACATGATAAAAATGACAAGTAAAAGCTGATCAATTATGGTTGACAACACTATGCTAATAACGATAGTGACTTGCATGTCATTGATAATTTCAACAAAAATATAATCATGTATCGCCTATTTGGTTATAACCTCGATAATGTTTTGAATGTTCAGTGTAAAACAAAGTACTCAGAACGCGAGATCTCAAAATTCTTATAAAAATTTCTTTCTTTCTACGACATCGACAGTTCCTAGAAATACATTCTTAATCTAAGAGTAACTAACCTCTCATAGTATATCGAAGATAAGAAATCAAGAAAGAAAGCCAAACATGCCTTCTTATCATTCAATAACTTGCTGTCAAAGAGTGTAGATTGGCATGTAAGTTTTCTTATCGCTGTTAATGATCACCAACATTCAGATCTTACAGATACATCCTTGTAAATGAGGATAAGTCTCCATATCACATCGGCTTCATTAACAGCGTTGGAGAAGATCAGTTACTACATAGACGAAGAAAGAGATGTTCTGTTGTCAATAAGTTTCAAATAAAACAAAATGAAAGTCTATGATAGCATATCAATTTGACATTCACACGTGACAATGATGCACAATTCGCACAAAATATGAGAAAGAAAATTTTAAGATCAAGAACATCAAAGACATCTGCATTATTCTATTTAATAAAACAACTGAGAATGATAACAAAAACAATGAGTCTTTTTTTATCCTCAACTGAAGTAGTTTTTCTTATGAGAAAATTTAGATCTCTCTGATTTACTTCCATATTGTAATCATATTTTGCTAGAGCAATAGTAAATTCAATGGTGTATCGAACCATTTGAAACATGCTCTTGACATTGATCTTTATGCATCACAACTCGGTCAATTGAAACCTGCTTATGATTCCATTAACATTAGTACGGTGCGTAATAAAAAATGCACGTGCATAGAAGTACTAAAAAATTTTTTGAACATGCACTAGAAATTTGTTTCAAACACATCCATTCTGATCATACATTACTGGATATTAAATATCATAAAATTGATTGAGTTTATTGATGCATATTGATGACTGTCATTCAATCCCTAACATAGTCACAACGTTAACTATAAGATATTTCTTGATACAAGGAAGTTATTGACATTAATCAAACCGTCATTGAATTTGACTGTTATAATGTGTGGATGATTTAGATTCTTTTCTATTAATTTCGACGAAACTTCACATTGGTATTATTAATTTTGAGATATGAACATTAACAGAAAAAGTTGATTCATCTAATGTTTTGCTGAGCCTCAATTGTATAAGAAACTGTTGGTTTTTTTTTATTCTTTTCTGCCAAAAAAATTTCCTTCATAAAAATATAACACGACATAGTTTTATTATTGAAAAGTTCTTTGTTGATAAATTTGAATTAATAAAAAATTTTAAGAATCTATACAAATGCGATCATACAAAATTTACTAATCTACACGATAAACAGAATTTTATAGTGAATATTCATGCATAGAATTACGAGAATATCTTCGAAACAGGCTGTAGATATTTTATGATAGTTTATTCGAAAAAAAAGAATACTTTAAAGTATAGTTTCCCATTACACGACTAATGTAGAAATAAGCTGAGATTTTATGTTGTTTAAAAAAATTTTCTAATGCTGAATAATAATTGAATGAATTGTTGCAAAAAAATAAAATATCGAAACTGATTTAAGAAAGAAAAAATTGTTTGGGTTTCGCTCAATTTTCGAACTATTATTAGATGTATCATTGGAAAAAAGACAAAAATAGGAAATCATCTAGAAATACGATTCAAGTAAAATCTCTAAAATCCTTGTTAAATAAAAATAGATTGGATTGATTCTGACGATTTCAATTTCAAACAACGTAAAACTGATAGTATATAGACAACAATATATGA